AAATAAAATTTATTTTTAAAAAAATATAATTTTGCTACAACAGAAGAAAACATCAGTCCTGGGTGAAATAAATTCTGGATATCTTCTAAAGACTGCAATTCCTTCTACCCTTTCCACTAAGGAAAAGGGAGGAAAGAAAGGGAAAAGGGATTTTTTTTTACAAAAGAGAGAATTAAAAAATGGAAATAGACCTTTTTTTTTTTTTCTCGTACCGGGAATCAAACTCACGACCTTGCACTTGCCAGGCACGCGCTGTGCTGCTGAGCTAAATCCCCAGCCCCAGAAACAGACCTTCTGTGAGTAGGAAGGGGAAGAAGAGTTGGGGCAAAAATAGGAGGGGAAAGGGAGAGAAAAAAAGAACTAACATATATTGTGTACAAACTTCCCACAATAAATGTAATCAAGCACTGTAAACATGAACTATTAAAAACAACTAGAAAAACAAATCACTGTTAACATCTTTAATTGTGAAGAAATTTTATCTGCTTTTAGTGTACTGCAATGTTAATAGCATGTTTTAAGTGTGAGCCTTGTTTAATCCTGCCTCTGCTATTAGTCTGGTGATCTTTTTTCCCTAGTACTGGAACTGAATCCAGGACCATTCATGTACTAGGCAAGCACTCTACCATTAAGTTACCTCCCCAGCTTTTTAAAAAATTATATTTTTTTAACATTCTCACTAAATTGCCTAGAGTGGTCTCAAACTAGGCAATCCTCTTTACTTTAGCCTACTGAATACCTGGGATTATATGTATGTGTCACTGTGCGGGGCTCCTTGCCAAGTTATTTTACTGTGCATATAACTACCTTGGTTTTCATCATCAGGAAAATAGAAATATAATTTCTTCTTCATAGATTTTTGTGAGAATATGTTTTTAGTGTTCAGAATAATATGTAGCACTTAGTAAATATAGTGGAAATACTATTTATTAGGATAGGATTTATTAATAGTTTAACCTGAATTTGTGGAAGAATCTGGGTTTAATCAAAGGCTAAATTTCCTTTTCTACTGACATCTCTTCCTTTCCAATCCACTTATTATGTCCTGCCACAGGGTAACAAGAAGGGCCCTTTAGGCCGCTGGGACTTTGATACCCAGGAGGAGTACAGCGAGTACATGAGCAACAAGGAGGCTTTGCCCAAGTGAGTTGATACTAAATATGGGAGGGAACGAGGAGGAGTTTGGCAATTGGATAGAGTAACCCATCCCAAGTTAGCAGACATAGTCCAGAAGTCCCCATACAGGTATGTTGCTTGCAGAGCCCTCTGGGAAAACCTTGCTACTGCTGTGTGACTCCTAATACCTTCTTCACCCAATGGTCCTTTTTAGGGCTGCATTCCAGTATGGCATCAAGATGTCTGAAGGACGAAAAACCAGGCGCTTCAAGGAAACCAATGACAAGGCAGAACTTGATCGCCAGTGGAAGAGGATTAGTGCAGTAAGTGGGACATTCTCAGGTGGGAGGGTTTCACCTGGGAGGGGACACTGGCCCACAGATTCAGGAACATTCATAGGGTTGGAGGGACATGAAAGTGAGAAAGAAGCCTTGGGCCTCAAGTGAATTTAGACTATGGACTATACTTTTTTTTTTTTTGCAGATCATTGAGAAGAGGAAGAAGATGGAAGCTGATGGGTGAGCAGCTTTATTCTTCTGTGGGACTCATTGGAATAGCTTAGTACATTGATCTTACGCTGACTCATTTCTCCTTCCATTGCAGGGTTGAAGTGAAAAGACCAAAATACTAATCTCTCCTTCTGCTGGAGAATCTCCACATGGATATTCTTTCTACTGTTTGCTTTCTACAATTCCTACGAAAGTTGCGATGTGTTTTTTTGTGTTTGTGAATGTATATAAAATTTTATTGTATTATCATTTGGTTCCATTAAAATTGGTTAACCTGCTGTCTTCTCTGTTGAGCATACTACTGTTGTATGAATACTCTACAATGGGGCTGTAATTCGTGTATCTCATTGCTGGGAGGCTCTGAATCACCAGAGGTACATGCATACCACTCACCGGTGGTACATATATAACTGTCCAGTTCGGAAGCATGGGACAGTTCCATTGGGTGGTACAGACCACCTGATGGGACAGTTACATACGTACCATCAGTATTTCAAACCAGCAAGAACACATTAAATCACATGTAGAACTGGGTATGGTGGTGCGTACCTTTTTTTGTTTTTTGAGACAGGGTCTTTTTTTTTTTTTTTTTCTGGTCCCAGGAATTGAACTTATGACCTTGTGCTTGCCAGGCAGGCGCTGTGCTACTGAGCTAAATCCCCAGCCCCTGAGACAGGGTCTTGCTATGCATTTCAGGCTGGCCTTGAGCTCACTTTGTAGCCCAGGCTGGTCTCAAACTTGCAGTGATCTTCCTGCCTCAGCCTCCCAAGTGCTAGGATTACAGGCATGCACCACCACACCTGGCTATATTTTTTGTTTGTTTTTTTTAATTTTTGTTTTTTTGAGATAGAATCTTACTGTGTAGTTCAGGCTGGCTTTGAACTTGTGGAGATCCTCCTCCGTCAATCTCACAAGTGCTGGAATCAGGGATGTACCACCATACCCATCTTAGTGCACACGTATAATCCCAGCATTCTGGGAGGCTGAGGCAGGAGGATCAAAAGTTTGAGCCTAGCCTGCACAATTTAGTAACTTACCAAGACTCAAAAGAACAAAAAGTGCTGGGGATGTATCTCAGTGTGAAGGCCCTGGGCTCAATTAAATCTCCAGTGGTGGAAAAAAAAAAAAATCACGCAGAAAGTTGTATCAGTCTATTGAACTGCAATTCTAAATTCATATGCAGTAAGGATGTTTATTAGCCAGTTCCAATTAGGAAAAAAGTCAGAGACGGCTCAGTATGAATACCTGAAGGGTCAGGGGATTGGCTTCCAGTTTAAAATTCAGTTTGTGGCTAGGAGTAACGGCCTATGGCTATAATCCCAGCACTGGGAGGCTGAGGCAGGATTGTTGAGAGTTCCAGGCCAGCCTGGGCTACAAAGTGAGCTCAAGACCAGCCTGAACTGCATAGTGAGACCTTGTCTCAAAAAAAAAAAAAAAAAAACCTAAATAAATAATTAAATTCAGTTTCTGCAAGTACCATCATGTCTCATCGAAGTGATTAGTGTTCTGATTGGCTACTTGTTTAATGGGTGACAAAACTCTCAGTACCACGTTCTAGTGACTGTTCCGGGCATTTAGCAAGTGGGACATACTGCCTCTCTGAAGTCCCTAAGCCTCATTTATTTCACCTCTCTAAAGTAGTTGGCCGTCAACATATCAAATGTTGTAGCCAGCACTCGGAAACTGAGGCAGGATTCCAAGTTTGAGCTCAGCCCAGGCAATGTAGTGACAGAGCCTGTCTCAGAAAACCAAACCAAAACAAAATAAAGAAAAGTCTTGGAAGGCTTAATACCACAAAGATGTGAGGCGGTGCCCTCCGGCCACAGGGCACCTGCCCATCTGGCCCACCGAGCAGAGTGCTCCTACCCTGGAGGCTGACAGGGGGGCGGTCCAGAACTTCCGCTGTAACGCCCATTTTCCTTTTCAGCGTGGTAGCCCTGAGCACTGGCCATCTGACCACTGAGGGTCTGGAACCAAACTGCAGGAAACTTGCGGACCACTTTCACTTAACCACAAAAATGCTGGGCCTAGACGGCTGGAGTGTGAGTGCGGGATGCCTTCTGGTTGTGGCCGCCGTAGGTCGTTGTCGGGTGACGGTGGCTTTTCTGCTGCCGCTTGAGCACTCCGGATGCAGCTTGCCAGGGTTTGCATTGCCCAAGCATCCCTCTCTCCCATCCCGAGGGGATAAGTCCTCCTCTAGGCTGCTGAGGGAGTACCTATCAGTATGGGGCAGGACGTGAAGCAGGATAGTCAACTCAGCCGCCAGTCGCTTCCGCCCCGCAGCGGCCGCCCACTCCCTCTGACGCACTTCCGCCTCAGCCCCAACCCGGAAGCGGTGTCCTGGGCCGCCGCCGCAGCCTGTAGGTGGTTTCTGTGCTGGTGCAGGGCTGGCGCTCGGTTCGGAATCCTTCCGAGCATGGACAGCACGTGTGAGGAGAGGCCCGCGAAGGAAGAGAGCGACGAGGAGGATTCGGACTCCGCTGAGGCCCCGGCCCGGATCCGGGACACCCCGGAAGACATTGTGCTGGAAGCACCGGCCAGCGGATTGGCGTTCCACCCAAGTCGCGACCTGCTGGCGGCGGGCGACGTGGATGGGGACGTGTTCGTGTGAGTGAGGGGCAGGGCGAGGGCACGGTGGAGGCGGGGGCCTCTTTTGGAAGTTCCCCAAGGATGGGACTGGGATGAGGATGGAGGAATGTTGCCGGGAGACAAGTTTTGCAAGATTTGGTTCTGATTCTTGATTCAGCTTTGAACAAGTTATCCGCAAAGCTCTCGAAAGACCTGAAAGAAGCGGCCACGCCCGTGATCCCAGTACTCTAGAGGCTGAGGCAGGAGTATTGCCGCGAGTGCAACGCCAGTCTGTGCTGCATAGCGAGTTCAAGATCAGCGTGAACTAGAGACTGTCTCTAAACTGCCCCCGCCAAAAAAAAAAACAACCCCAAACCAACAACAAAAAACCGCTTAACTGAGCCCAGAGATTGTATGCGGTGTGTGTGTGTCGGATGCCTGAGGCCCAAGGTTCCCACTTATAGTTGAGACCAGCTCAACAGGCCCATTGCTTTTGACCCTTTAGTGGATCTGTTCAAAAAATACATTTTGGCCGGGCGTGTTGGCGCACACCTGTAATCCCAGCACAAGGGAGGCTGAGGCAGGAGAATCGTTGCGACTTAGAGACCAGCCTGGGCTACAAAGTGAGCTCAAGGCCAGCCTGAACTGCATAGTGAGACCCTGTCTCAAAAAACAAACAAAAACAAAAAAACCAAAACCAAAAAAAACCCACATTTTGTTCTCCATTTTACCTCATGCTTCTAGTCCAGGGTAGGTACTCAGTACATGCTTAAACACGAGGTACAGGCTGGGAAGCACTGGAAAGCCCCTGACAGTTCATAACCAAGAGAGTTGTGCTATGAAATTTATGTAATTAATTTATGTGTCAGCCCATTAGTGGTAATGGCTTTTGGTAGGTTAACTTCTGTACTCTAATCTCTGCAAATGGGAATAACATCTACCTTGCAGAGAGGACACTATTCAGTACAGCTCCTGAGCAGTTCAAGTAAGTTGTCTTACTACCACCCATATTTATCGTGCCTGATACTTGGGAGTTTCATGCCCTACCGCTCCATTTTTCTTCCCACTTCCCAAAATCTCATTTGCTCAGTTTATGATGGAATTCTCCATCTCAAAAATGGTTCAGGAAGCATTTGACACCCCACCCGCATTCTTCACCCTGAGGCCTCTGGTGGTTCTCTGACTCCTCCTTTCATGACCATTTTCATGAGATTCCTTTTGCCCTAAGGATAAAGCCAGACTTTTTTTATTCTAGAAGGGACATTGATGTCTGCCTCCAGGGTGCTCTGTTTGGTGCCAAATGAGCTCATTTTTCACGGCCAAACTGACATGTCACCTTAGTTTTTCAGGGCCCTCGCACATGCTCAGCACATACTCCACCTCTGAGCTACGTTCCCAGTCCGCTGGGTCTCATCTCTCAAGTCCTCATTCAGTTTGCGACTATTTATTAAGCCACTTCTTCACGCTAAACATTGGGACAGATAAGACAAGTGAGCAGACTCAGTTCTGTCCACATGGAACTTACTGGTAACTAAGTATTCATGGGTTTGGACCAGGTAGAACTGCTGTGAGGCAGGTACTGAGGAGTCCCTGGACAGGTACTGGCTTCAAAACTGAGTTTATAGGCTGGTACCTCTCTGTTCAACCTCCATTTTGGTCCTGTGTCTTTGTCACCATTTTTGAGACAGGGTATCACTATGTAGTTCTGGTTGGATTTGAACTCACTGTGTAGCCCAGGTGGTGATCCTCTACCACACTCAGCATTTTAATAATGGTCATAATGCACTATAATTAATTGTGGTGTTTTGTAGCTCCTGTGCACATGGGAGTGCACATCCTGATTTTTACTCAGCCAACTTCTGGGGCTGATCTTCTGTTCCTGGTTTAACACATATTTCTGGGCCCTCACAGTAGTTTGGACCCAATCTTTGTCTACGCTGGGGATTTCAAGGAAGGTGGTGGGGGCAGTGAGGTCCCCAAAGTCCTGTGCAAAAGTACCTGGAATTCATATGCATTGAATTGGGGCTGGGGATTTAGCTCAGCGGCACAGCACCTGCCTGGTAAGCGCAAGGTCGTGAGTTCAATTCCTGGTACCGGTAAAAAACCAAAACAAAGATGCATTGAAACGAGACCGACCATTTGAAGCTTAATGAAAATGTGTTAACAGGATGCTAAGCTTTTTGGACTTAGGTATATATAAGCAAGAACTCCTAGGTAGGTGGCAAAGTTGGCCTGCTTAGGTGGCCTCCACATGCCACATATCCCAGGTGTGGTCTGGGATCATTTACCTATCTTCCCTTCTCCCAGCTTTTCCTATTCTTGCCAAGAGGGAGAGACTAAGGAACTCTGGTCCTCAGGTCACCACCTCAAGGCTTGCCGAGCTGTGGTCTTTTCTGAAGATGGGCAGAGTGAGTATTGGGGAAAGCAGCCAGCAGGGTGGTGGTAGGAAGGGTGCAGTAAGCAGCGCTGACCTGGGCACCTTTTCCCACAGAACTTGTTACTGTTTCCAAGGATAAAGCCATCCATACCCTAGATGTGGAGCAGGGCCGGTTAGAAAGACGTGTTTCTAAGGCTCATGGGTAAGGGCTGTCAATTTCTGTGTATGCATGGAGGGGAGGGGTAAGGACTAGGAGGTCTGAGCTAGGACAGAAGCTCCAAGAAGTTCTCCATGTGTCTGTCTCTCCAGTGCTCCCATCAACAGTCTGCTGCTGGTGGATGAGAATGTTCTAGCCACTGGGGATGACAGAGGCAGTGTCCGGCTCTGGGACCAGCGGAAAGAGGGCCCCTTGATGGATATGGGGCAGCATGAGGAATACATTGCCGACATGGCCCTGGACCCAGCGAAAAAGCTGCTGCTGACAGCCAGGTACAATCTCAAAGCTGCCTCCCCATCTTTTTCCTCATTAGTCTTCCTCAAAAAAACTTGCATCTAAGCTTGCTGCATTTTGCTCTCTACAGTGGTGACGGCTGCCTTGGTGTCTTCAATATCAAAAGACGGCGGTTTGAGCTACTCTCAGAGCCTCAGTCTGGCGACCTGACCTCGGTGACCCTCATGAAAGTATAGCTGGGTGTGATGGGATGGGGTGCATATGCTAGGGACTTGGTCTAAGGTGGCTACACAAACACAGTTTTCCCTTTTTCCCTGCAGTGTGGGAAGAAGGTGGCCTGTGGTTCCAGTGAAGGTACTATCTACCTCTTTAACTGGAATGGTTTTGGGGCCACAAGTGACCGATTTGCTCTGAGAGCTGAGTCTATTGACTGCATGGTTCCAGTCACTGACAGTCTGCTGTGCACCGGGTCCACTGATGGAATTATTAGGTAAGGGAAACCTTGACAGCTTCAAAGGCATTGAGTATGCTTGGGGGTGGAGGGTAGGAGAGCTGGAGGAAGCTGGGTACCTCCCACTAGCCAGGACCCCAACACTGTTCTTTTCCTGCCCAGGGCTGTGAACATCCTGCCAAACCGAGTAGTGGGCATTGTAGGCCAGCATGCTGGGGAGCCGGTGGAGGAGCTGGCTCTTTCCCACTGTGGCCGCTTCCTGGCCAGTAGTGGCCATGACCAGCACCTCAAGTTTTGGGACATGGCCCAGCTTCGAACTGTAGTGGTGGATGACTATCGTCGACGTAAGAAAAAAGGAGGGCCACTGCCTGCCCTGAGCAGCAAAGCCTGGAGCACAGATGACTTCTTTGCAGGGCTGAGGGAAGGAGGAGAGGACTCCAAGGGTCCAGAAGAAGAGTGTGAGGACAACAGTGACTGAGGATGAGACTCTTTTGGGTCAGAAATTGTCACTGAGCATGAGCCTTGCTTCCTAAGATGAATTCCTAGAGAGGCTATGAAATTCGGTGCTTGTGCATGTGAAGCGCATCGCCCTGAGACATGACTATATTAGCACTTGTTGCACAGGGGATTAGAGCTCAGAATACTGAAGAGGGGGAGTTTATGCCCTGCAGCACCTGCTCAATCTGCCAATGTAAGACAAACCCTCAGTGTGTTAAGACAGCGCAGATGTGTATACTAACAAGGAGTTTAATATAAATACAACCAGCATAGGAAAGCTCAAAACCATAAACAAACCAAAATCAGAATGACAACTGGTGGGGGTAGAAGGACAGAAGTCCACCCTTTGGCTCAGCCAGTCCCCCAAATAAAAAACAAAGATTCATGCTAAGTTTGGGGGTGAATGAAGGAGAGGGGGGGGGATATGGTGTTCTGTGTTACACAGGGAATGGCCAAAAAGAAACACTGGAGTCAGTCAGACCCTTGGTTCAGGGTGGGAGGGCAGGTGCCCCACAACTTAAGCCAAACCTGAGCTGTCCTCAGGTGTTACTTGGACCCTGCCCCAGTAGTAGGGTTGTCTCAGACCTGGGGCAGGTCCTGTGTCCCTCCCCCTCTAGGGATCAGCTAGCTGCTGCCCAGGCCTGCTGGGCTGAGGGCTCACACAGGCCCTGCCTATGGAGAGAGGCAGGGGTCACTGCTTAACCACAGGACCTGCCTCAGCTCCAGAAGACCACAGGAGACTGGCTCCAGACTCACTCAGTGCCTCCAGCAGCCGTGCAGACACAGCATCTTTTGCCACCTCATGCCCATCCTGCCCATCTGTAGCCAGCACGACCCAGATGAGGCCGCTGAAAGGCACTGGATGCCCAGGGATCACTACCTGGTACCAGAAGTGGTGCCAACCCGCGGGTCCTGTGCCCAAACACTTGGTGAGGAATACTGGGCTGCCCAGCTTCATTCGTTGGCACAGCAGCTGCAGGGTAGCCCGAGCACCTTGGTACGCTAGCTTGCCCCTGGCCAGGACCAGTTGGCTGCCATATGGCTGTAGGCACCGAAGTGAGGGACCCGTGAGCTGCTGGCGGAGCTGCTGCTTTAGGTCTGGCTTGAGCCACTCCACAGCCACCTGTTCTCCACAGAGGCGTGACTGACCTGCAGAAAAAGTCAAGAGACAAAGGGCACATCTGAGCCCTGGCATAAGCTCCCAAACTGTGTGAGCCTTTGGAGTACAGACTTGTAAACTCCAGTGTTTAAGGCATAGCCTCCCCATTTCTGGGTAGTATCCGGCCTAAGGGCCTAAGTTAACAGCCGCGTCCTTATTTGAAAGGGAGATGTAATAACACTGGCTTTTAAGTTTCCTTGAAGGAGTACTGTTTGATGCCGGTTTTATCTACCTCATAATCATCACAATGGCCTGCCTCTCCCGTCAGTACTAGCTTTGAGTCAGGAAATGTGTTAAGTACCATATGCCCATTGTCATTTAATTCTCACAGCGTCTAGAGGCTGGTTCTAGAGAAGCCTGGCTGGACTCCCTTGGACAAGTCCATCTTTTCCACTGGAATGCTGAGGATGAATTCTGGAGATAATGACCAACTGCAAAGTCTGGTTAAGGATTCGCCTAGCGCAACAACAGTTGAAAAAAAAAAACGGCTTGCTTGGGCCTGACATTTTAAGACAAACCGTTGCTACAGGCCCGGCGGCCGCGCCCCTCCACTTACCTTCTATGAGGGCCTTCTTGGCCATGGCGGCGGCGCGGTGCGAGCTGAACTTGAGCAGCGCCATCTGCGCGGGCGCCGGGCCCGGGCTGGGCAGCAGCTGCGCCTCCTGCAGGCCGGGCCCCAGAGGCTGCAGCGCCAGCAGCAGCGCCGCGTGGGTCACGCCCGGCGGCAGCCCGTCCACGCTCAGCTCGCACTTCTCCGTGCTGCGGCAGACGAGCAGCGGGCACGACGGCCGCAACGGGTGGTTGTGCAGCGTGGCGATGGCCGCCTGCGCGCCGCGCCGCGAGCTGTAGCGGGCGTAGGCGAAGCCGCGGTTCAGGCCGCTGAAGGTCATCATCAGGCGGAACTCGTAGAGGCGGCCCACGCGCTGGAAGAGCGGGATCAGCTGGTGCTCGTACACGTCCTGGGGCAGCCGTCCGATGAACACCTCGGAGCCGGCCGGCGGCGGACTGCCCACCCAGCCTGCAGAAGAGCGCGGAGGGCACCGTCGGGCGCGGGGCGCCGGGCCGGAAGC